CTTCTTCATCTTCACATCGATTTATCACGCCCTTACATGTAAACCCTAATTTTTAAAACGGCCGCTTTTCGATTCGATTCTGTGGTGGAATCATATATTGTAGAGTAATCGGCTTATAAACTCCGATACGGGGCTAGAATCGTTGTTGGAGGTGGCGAGAATTAGGATTTGATAGGATGAGTGCTCAAATTGAGGCTTTGAAGCATCGGTTCGTGGTGGATCCGAGGTACGCAGAGAAGACATGGAAGATTTTGGAGCATACGATTCATGAGATATGCAATCATAACGCCAGTGGGCTCATTTTCGAAGAGCTCTATAGGTTTGCTTCTTATGAATTTGCTTATTCTGATTGTCCATTTGTTATTGAGCTCATAATGATAAAGTTCAGTAGCACATATCACATGCTTTGATGTTTTTAATAGCAAATATTGCTTTGATTTTTTGCCCTGAGAAGCAAAGGAAGTCCGGCTACATTGCTAAAAAGTAAGCAGTAGCTCGGTTGATATAATGTTTTGGGTTCGCCTATTGCATCATATGTTTTTATTATTTTTAGAACTGTTGATAGAAATTTTATAAATATAATGTTATGGGAAATGCCAAATTTCCTTATATTAGATTATGATGTCGAATTTGGAATGCAATTGAGATGTAATATTGAATGGAAGGTTCAGTGGGGTTTGGGGTAAGTGAAGAAAAATGGGAGTAAATATTAACCAGCTGCTGTAGAAGAGTGCCACGTTATTTTGTTATATATGGGGAAAAACACATATAATGTTGTTGCCCCAGTTATTTTAGTGCCAAATCTGGATTACATGTATATGTTTTACATCAACTCTGTCATGACCCTATATTTTACTCGAATGTGACCCACTATGAGAACTTCACCCAAAATAGCATGAAATGAATGGATTCTCGAGTTTTAGAAACTCAGGATCCCTGGGGAACATAGGTCTGCTATTCTCATCTGCAATTGACATATGTGGATGTATGAGTCAAATAGTCCATAAATTTAAACACATATATACGTGTCAAACCGTATCCAATGACCCCACATTCTACAACCTTTATGTCTATTAACAACAGGACCAACTCCATTACTAACATGTTGCTTCTACTCTAGTGAGTAACATTGTTGCCATGTGCTTTATCCTACCTTTTGTGTCGTGTCACTGCCTTCATACAATTTGAGAAGCGTGGTTGCTTTTACAAAGTTTTTTGTATCTGAGTTGTGTCGTCTATGTGTCAGGCTTCATAGCTCCCACAGCATACCATAACCACAAATTTCACTACCCTTATATATCTTGACCTTATATATGTCCTGCCTGCTGTTGTCAGATTTCACCTCCACCAACCCTTCTTGCCTCTTTAATGCCACTTTAGCTACATCCACTGTGAGACGGGACTGGCATTGCATCACCACCATACTTTTACTTCTTGCTTGAATATCATTAGAATTACACAGCTATACCGATCAATGCACTTTTCAGGTAATTAACATAATGAATGATTTTTCAAAGGTTCAAAGGGGAGCTTTGTTTTGAGATAGGGACCTAGGGTTGTCGTGTTGGTTCTTGTGAGACTATAAAGCCTTTCCATTGGGTTGATTACATTTTCAGTGAGAGACTCCCCCTCCCCCTCCCCCTCCCCCTCCCCCTCCTTTCCTGCTGATATTGCTGGCCTTTGCTTGTGTAACTTTATCCTCAGAAGTGTGATCCAAGTTGATACATTCTTCCAGCATCTATTGTTGCATTTTATATATGCATCATGTACTGCAAAAATTATCCACTATTTATGCATCATCTTTGTAAGCATATGTATAGTCCCCTGTCGTTTCATGTTTTTGGTTTGAAATTGCAGCTAGTGAACCATATTGTTTAAAAAAATGCTGATCTCTGACTTAGTACTGATGGCTGAGTTAGCCTAGCTTATCCTACCTAAGTATATTGTAATGGAATGTTGGCGAGCAAATTAGCGAAGGTGCTTTACTAATAGAAGAAGGAAGCTTCGGTGTGTTGCCTAAATATGTCGTGCCATTAAAGGTCTAATATGGAATCAGATGTCTTGCTCAAGACTAACCCAATATGTACTTAGTTTTGCGAGGAAAACATGATCTATGACATGGAAATTGATATATATGATGTGGATTGGCTATGATTTTGGATGGGATTCTAATGGCTAAAAAGGGTGGAGTAAGCAGTTCTCAGCACTTGGGTTTTAAATTTGACTAACCCTCTCTATGCAGCTCTCATGGCAACACGGTATAATATTGGGCGATGTGCACGAATGCTACATAAAATAATTTTATCCACAAGATATTTATGCCATAGTGCAGTGTGGCAAAATATTATATAAGTGGATTTAGGGAAAATGACTCAAACGATTTTGGGTTGACTCATATTTGCAATAGTATTAGACCACAAGGTGCCAAGTCGGATGTGGACATTGTATCGGTAAGAGTTGAGAATTTGAACCATTCTGTTAAGCCTGAAGAAATATGTACTTAAATCAAATTCAATATAGTGCCATCCAAGTCTCATCACCTTCTCAATTCACGTTCTTTATGCCCTCGAAAGTTCCAAACAGATATTCACAAGTGAAGGAACTTCAGAGTCGGAGCATGCTTTACAATCTAAATTGGCACTCTCCAATCTAAAATGACACACTAGTTTTTGGAGTGAGTGTGCCTAGGTTTTGCGGACATGAAAAATCAAAGGAGGAGGTCATGGATTCCCAAGTGCGGGAAATCCTATTCCCTTAGCCATGTCACATTCTGTTAGGCTCAGGTACACTTGTTTGGTTATAGTTCCTTGTTTTCATCGATTGTCTCAACTCTAGACTTTATTAAGCTCTGATACTACTTGCCACTCGAATTTATAGGTAGCATCCGTCATTAAGTCATTAATCTTCTCTCCCTGACTTCATCCATGTCTCTTGTCGTCAAAGATAACATACAGAAATTCACGAGTAAGAAGGTCCAAAGTTAGAAGATACTATATAAACCAGTCTAAAATGGACCCATTAGCTTTTAAAGTTTCTAAATTGTAAGTCACTCTGGCAATGCATCATATACCACAAGAGTAAAAGATATTAGGTCTGGGGCATATCCTGTTTCCTTAGCTACGACAAGTCATGTTAGACACAAATAAGGTTGTGTTATAGTTCACTGTTTCCTCAAAATGACTGAAGAGTTTGCCTTGGGCATTGTTCTAAACAGTATACAGTGTTGAAGAAGTGCAGGGAGGAGTACATGGTTTCTTTAATGGCCCGGTTTCCTCTTAGGATTTGTTTGAAGAATTTAGCCCATTGCCTGTTGCATCATTTGCATGCATGTGAAGCTCATCCAAATTAGCTTCCTTCGTCTAGTTGTCCCAACATTCCTAATTTTTGGTTTATATGTTTTGCACGTATGGCAACAACTAAGATACTTGTGATCTTAAAATTCCTTGATTAAGTGGAAGTACGGGTCCATGAAAAGTTATAAAACTGGGAGTCATGATGTACCTGTACCTTTGTCCTTGATCTTGATTTCTTTATTCTTTCATAGCAATTTCATGGAAGTTATGGAGTTTGTGTTTTTCTACACATGCCTGTTTGTTATCTCTGTGGTGATCTGCCTAGAATCCAAGTTGGATCAGCCCTTGTCTGCATGGAATCCAATTTGAACCATTCCTCGTATGGCCCTCATGGATTGCCTTGCCCATTAGAGCCCTTTGTCTTTTCTTCTGTTTCTAGGAGCTCATTACCTATTATAAGTATCTTATTTTTATTCAGGAATGCTTACAATATGGTTCAGCACAAATTCGGAGAGAAACTCTACTCTGGACTTGAGTCAACTATGACATCACATCTAAAAGAAATAGCAAAATCAATCGAGTCTGCTCAGGGAGCTTCATTTCTGGAAGAGCTGAACAGGAAATGGCAGACCACAACAAGTCTTTGCAAATGATCCGTGATATATTAATGTACATGGCCAAGACTTTTATCCCTAGTACACATAAAACACCAGTTCACGATCTTGGATCAAATTTGTGGAGGGACCACATTATCCACTCTAGCAAAATCCAGACCAAGCTTCAGGACACGCTTCTAGAGCGTGTACTGCAAGAAAGGAGTGGTGAAGTTATAAACAGGGGTCTTATGAGGAATATTACAAAAATGCTAATGGATTTAGGTTCTCCTGTTTACCAAGAAGACTTTGAGAAGCCTTTTATTGGAATCTCTGCTGATTTTTATCGTGTTGAGTCTCAGCAGTTTATTGAGTGCTGTGATTGTGGCGAATATTTAAAGAAAGCTGAGAAACGTCTCAATGAAGAGATTGAGAGAGTGTCTCATTACCTGGATGCAAGAAGTGAAGCCAAGATAACTAATGTGGTGGAGAAGGAGATGATTGAAAGTCATATGCACAGATTAGTCCATTTGGAGAATTCTGGTTTGGTTAATATGATAATGGATGACAAATATTATGACTTGGGAAGAATGTACAACTTGTTTCGGCGGTTGCCTAATGGACTTTCAATAATTCGGGATGTTATGACTTCTCAAATTCAGGAAACAGGTAAGCAGCTAGTCACTGATCCAGAAAGGTTAAAGGATCCTGTAGACTTTGTGCAGAGGCTTTTGGATGAAAGGGACAAACACGATAAGATTATGAGTTTGGCATTTAACAATGACGAGACATTCCAGAATGCTTTGAATTCCTCATTTGAATACTTCATTAATCTGAATCCTCGATCACCAGAATTCATATCTTTGTTTGTGGATGACAAGCTCCGGAAAGGACTGAAAGGGGTTAGTGAGGAGGATGTGGAGATTGTGCTAGACAAGGTGATGATGCTTTTCCGCTACCTTCAAGAGAAAGATGTGTTTGAGAAGTATTACAAGCAACATTTGGCAAAGAGGCTTCTTTCTGGAAAGACTGTCTCTGATGATGCAAAGAGAAGTCTGATACTCAAGCTGAAAACCAAATGTGGGTGTCAGTTTACTTACAAGCTTGAACGTATGTTCACTGATATGAAGACCTCCCCAGATACAATGCAGGGATTCTATGCAGCCATGGGTCCTGAGATAGCAGATGGCCTCACGCTAACCGTCCAGGTCCTCACTACAGGGTCTTGGCCAACTCAGTCAAGTTCCACGTGCAACCTTCCTCCAGAAATCCTGGGGGTCTGTGAGAAGTTCCGAACATATTATCTTGGAACCCATACTGGGCGGAGATTGTCCTGGCAAACCAATAGGGGTACTGCTGATTTGAAAGTGACATTTGCGAAAGGGCAGAAACATGAACTGAATGTTTCAACGTACCAGATGTGTATTCTCATGCTGTATAATAATGCTGATATGCTGAGTTATAAAGAAATTGAACAGTCAACAGAGATACCTGCATCCAACTTGAAGTGGTGCTTGCAGACTCTGGCCTGTGTTAAGGGGAAGAACATTCTCCGGAAAGAGCCCATGAGCAAGGACATTTCTGAGGGTGATGCTTTCTTCTTCAATGACCAATTCACGAGCAAGTTCTACAAGGTAAAGATAGGCACTGTCGTTGCACAAAAAGAGTCGGAACCAACAAAGCAGGAGACCCGGCAGAGAGTGGGGGAAGACAGGAAGCACCAGATTGAGGCAGCGATTGTGAGGATCATGAAGTCTCGGCGGGTGCTGGATCACAACAACATTGTTGCCGAGGTCACAAAGCAGCTGCAATCACGATTCCTACCAAACCCAGTTGTAATAATGACGAGGATCGAGTCGTTGATTGATCGTGAATTTTTATAAAGGGACAAGGTAGATAGGAAGTTGTGCCGTTACCTGGCTTGAGCAAACAATTTATTCTGTGTGACAATGTCAATTTATTGGGGCTTTGTTTTGGCCTTGGCTTGTGGAAGTGTAAGATGGAATGTTTTTCTTGAATTATTGCAGTTCAGATGGGTTCCACTGGATATTTTGTGCAATGCTTTTGGTGCCCCTTTGTTTTACTCTCTCTCTCTCTCTCTCTCTCGCTCTTGTTCTGATGGTTAGGTTTGCTCCAACATACTGGAATGGCTCTTTATTGGGTTTCAGTAAATGGATGATGTAACTTCGAATGGTAAAGATATTGTAGTTGAGATATTGTAGGAAACCAAACAGGTTGCTGGAATGTTTGAAAATAGTATTGCTATTTGGTGTAAGATTATAAGCGGAGCGATACACTATCGGGAATCATGCAAATAGCAAAGAGCACATAGAAACGCCATCAGTTAAGGACACACAGAACAAAAAGAATATTGGCAGAGTTCGACAACAGATAACTCATGAACTGAATGACAGCCAACAAAAGCTAAGGATAGTTCCTTGACCTAACCTAAACACCAAGTCCAGAAATCCATCCTTCAGAACAGGTGGTGGTACTTGGTGATGACAATGAAGTCGTTATAGAGTGGCTGTAAAGTCATACACCCAACGGCATATAATTTCTTTTTACTCGCATATAGCGTATGATGTGATAATAGGAAAAAAAACAACAAACAAGCAAACTGACTGACAACAATGAAACCAATAACTGACTAAATCGAGATCTCAATGCTTTGATTTGTTTCAAAATGTTTCGTGGTTGTGAGATGTTTTGTCAGGTTTACACCAATGTTTCGAAGTATTTTAGGATGTTTTGGTATATTTTAACAAATATTTTGGAAATAAATTCTCAATTTTTTTTTATTCATTTTTATTTTATTTTCAAAATGTTTCCGTCTCCTAGATGACTGAAATAATATACCGAAATGAAATTTTGATCCTTAATTTAAGGGTTTTGTTTGAATAAAATCTTCCAACGTGATGGTTAGAGAACATGCTATAATTATCACTAAACAACAAAAAAGAAAAAGAAAAAGAAAAAAAAAAACAATAATAAGAAGGTTAAATATGAGAGTCAATTATTTTTAACCAATAAAGGAACCATAAACAGAGATTTTTGCAATGCATGATTGTGTATTTGCTGGTGGGAGAGAAACTAAAGGCAGAAGCACTTCAATAGTTATAAAGAGACTGGTCATAATATTTCATCAATATTTACCTCTTCATCATCCTCATCTCCATCAGAATCTTCTTCATCGGCTTCCTACAACGTAAAATCAGAGATTTCCTCAAAGCCACAATAAGTACAAGGGAATCTTAATTCCAGGAGAAAGTAAATCATATTAACATGAAATTACATTGTTGAAATATTTGAGAGGATTGGGCTGTTAGTTTTTACAAATTCAATTCTTAAACGATAGTTTTTGTATTTTGGGTATTGAAAAGTCATGGTATTTGAAGAGGTAATCACTAGAAGAGTCCAAATTTTTTTTGAGAGGTTTGTGCATGTCTTTGGGAGGAGTGTTCATGTACTACTATATGGGAAAATGAAGAGACAAAATCTGGTTTCATGGATGAAGGCAGCTGGACATTGAATGAGCAGATTTAAGGACTTTTTGGCTGGAACATAGCCATATCAAAGGGGCTGGACTGCTGCTGCCAAAACAGAGTGTTCTGTGTAGAAAAAACAGAAAAAAAGAGAGTAAAAAAACAGTGGGTTGCTGCCAGAAAAAACCAGCAGTGTGTGACATGAGCAGAAGCTCTATTTCTTTGTATTTCTTAAGTGTTTACTGCTGAAAATTTCAGATTAGCTTTTCCATTGTATTCCTTGATATTGTGATCATTCTTGATGAAAAATAGAGGTGTTTCTTGAGTGAAATTAGTGTGGATGTATAGCAGATTTTTATCCTCTGTTTTTGTGTTCTTTTGGTGATCTATTTTTGCTTCCAACACCCAACAAAAGTGGTATCAGAGCAGGTTGTCATGGCTACTATGAGTAATGTGCTTCAATCCCAATTTTCCAAATTGGGGAAAGATAATTATGAAAATTAGAGTATTCAAACAAGGTGTTGTTACAATCACAAGATCTTTGAAAAATTGTTGAAAAAAGTTATATCGAGCAGACTACGGAGTAAGAGCAAGCGCTTAATGCTGCTCAAAAGATTGTACTTAAGCAATCAAGGAAGACAGATAAGAATGCTTTATTTCTACTTTACCAATGTATTGACGATAACACTTTTGAGAAGATTTCTTCTGCCACCACCTCGCAGCAAGCTTGGGAAATTTTGAAGAGTATGCATATAGGCATTTGATAAAACAATTCGGGTTCATCTTCAAATATTGCGAAGTGAATTTGAAGGGTTGAACATGAATGGAGCCAAGTCAATTTTGGAGTATTTTTCAAGACCTTTGGTGATTGTGAATCAAATGCGAAGGTATGGAGATGATATTGATGATGTTCGAGTTATGGAAAAAATACTACGAATCTTAACTCCAAAATTTGAGCATGTTGTTGTAGCTATTGAGCAATCCATGGATTTCAAGACTACGAGTGTTGATGAATTGATGGCGACATTAAAAATACATGAGCAACGTATTAATAAAAAGACTTCAAGTTCTCTTGAACAAGCTCTTCAATCCAAGTTTTCTTTGAAAGATGAAAAAAGAAAATTTCAAGGTAGTACATTTCAAAGAGGAAGAGGTAATGGAACACGAGGTAGAGGTTATGGCAATCAAGGAAGAGGCAACGAAGGTCGTGGAAGAGGCTATACTAATAGAGGAAGAGAAGGAAGAGGCCAATTCACCAATGATGCAAAAAATCAAAATCCTTATGGTTCAAGAGGAAGAGGACGAGGAAGAACAAGAAACAATTACAACAATCAAGGCTTTGACAAGAGGAATGTTGAATGCTTCAATTGTCACAAGTTTGGGCATTATAGCAATGAGTGTTGGGCAAGTGCAAATAAAGACGTTGAAGAACATGTGAATTATGCCGAGAAAGCAAGTAATGAAGCGGGATCTGCTTTGTTGTTGGCCTATGATGGATCCAAAAAAGATAATGGAAACGTGTGGTTTCTTGATTCCGGGGCAAGCAACCATGTATGTGGCAAGAAGCATATGTTTGTAGAACTTGATGAAGTGGCGCAAGGCAAAGTTACTGTTGGTGACTCCTCCAACATTCCGGTGAAAAACAAAGGTAAAATTTTTATTAAGCTCAAGAATGACAATCATGATTTTATTTCCGATGTCTATCATGTGCCGGATATGAAGAATAGTATTTTGAGTTTGGGGCAACTTTTAAAAAAGGGTTATGATATTAGCATGAAAAATCTTCACCTTACAATTAAAGATGCTCGTGGTAATTTGATTGCTAATGTAGAAATGTCCAAGAATAGAATGTCTCCTATGAATATTCAACATGATGCTATGAAATATTTGAATGCTATTATTAAAAATGATTATTGGTTGTGACACTTGAGACTTGAACATCTTAATTTTGGTGGCTTGAAGCTTTTATCTAGTAAGAAAATGGTGAAGGGTCTACCCTACATAGACCATTCGGATGAGTTATGTGAAGGGTGTATTCTTGGCAAGCATCACAAAGTAAGCTTCTCAAGAGAAGTCAAGTGGAGAGGATCACGACCCTTGGAGCTTGTGCACACCTATATTTATGGTCCTTTGAAGCCTATGTCAAATGGTAAGAATCGCTACTTTCTTACTTTTATTGATAACTATAGCCGGAAGACTTTGGTGTATTTTTTAAGAAGGAAGTCCGACGTGTTTGAAATTTTTAAGGAGTTCAAGAATCTTATTGAGAAGCAAAGTGACTATTTTATCAAGATGTTGAGACCCGATCAAAGTGGTGAGTATAGTTCTGATTTATTTGAAGACTATTGCAAAGAGCATGAAATTGTGCATCAATTCACGCCAAGCTACACACCTCAATTGAATGGAGTTGCGGAAAGAAAAAATAAGACTATTCTTGATATGGCTAGAAGCTTGTTGAAAGGAAAGAGATTGCCTAGAGAATTTTGGGCAGAAGCCATATCATGTGCAGTGTACTTGTTGAATCGATGTCCAACCAAAAGTGTTCGTTTCAAGACCCCGAAGGAAGCTTGGTGTTCATTCAAGCCAAGTGTAGCCCATCTTAGAGTTTTTGGATGTATTGCTTATGCGAAGGTTTCCGAAGCTAAGAGAACAAAGCTTGATGATAAAGGCGAAAATTGCATTTTTCTTGGGTATGGTGATAGAATAATGGGGTACAAGTTATACAACCCCATTACCAATAAAGTAATCATGACTAGAGATGTAATCTTTGAAGAGGAAGACATGTGGGATAGGGAAAAAAAAATTTCAGCCACCAAAGTGGAACTTATGCTTGAAGAAGAAGAGTCCAAAGAACCAAGGGAAGTCCAAAGAGAGCCACAGACACCTCCATATGGATCCCCCTTATCTTCTACAGGTGAATCATCATCATCACCATCATCATCGGATTCAAGTTCAAGTGAAAGACCAAGAAAAATGAGAAATTTGCAAGAGATTTATGAATCTACGAAAAATTTTGAAGGTAACTTGAATTTCTTTTATTTGTTCATGGATTGTGATCTTTTATATTTTGAAGAAGCGGTTCAAGAAGAGAAATGGAGAATAGCAATGGATGAAGAAATGAAGACAATTGAAAAGAATGATACATGGGCACTAGTTAGTCTTCCCAAAGGTCATAAAGCAATTGCTGTGAAGTGGGTATATAAAACCAAGAAGGATGCAAATGGTGAAGTCCAAAGATACAAGGCAAGGTTGGTTGCTAAAGGCTACAAGCAAAGGGCTAGAATTGATTATGATGAGATATTTGCTCCTGTTGCTCGTTTGGAAACGATTAGGTTGATGATTTCTTTGGCGGCACAAAACAAGTGAAAGATATATCAACTTGATGTGAAATCGTCATTCTTGAATGGATTTCTTGAAGAGGAGATTTATGTCGAAC